GATTCCCTGAGGTGAAAGATTAAAAGCAAAAGTCCTCAGTTAGAGTTATAAAGAAAGTATGAACAATGGGAAACACCACAAATGTTACTATAGCAACCCAGGCTATTAACATGATGATGTCACCCTGCCCTTCTCCTTTTTAGACTTAAGGCAACTAAAAATTTTGAAATCCATAACTCCAGAAATTCTAGCAAGGATAGTTAACTCAAATAGTAAGTGTACCAGCCAACTTGGAATTTGCTTGATGTAAATGTGTTTGTCCCGGTCTATTACCAAACATAGCTGCATGCCTTTGATATTTTCACTTCCTTATTTCAGAACATACACATCAGGCTTCTGCAAATATCATTTCATAGCTCCTATTGTTTTAAAAATCACTAAGTATTTCAAACTAACCCCTTAAAATAGGAAATATTGAGCCAGTGAGAAGCCCAGCAAATAAAATTGCCTGCACCAATTCCAGTGACTTGAGTTTGAGCCCAGAATCCACAGAGAGAAGGGAAAAAAGTCACTTTACAAAGTTCTCTGACCAGCACATGTGCTCTCCATACAGACACAGAATCAATTTAAAATACGTGCTACTATGTGAAATAATCTTTGATTTTATTTTATTTGTGCAGAAAGCTTCTACTAAATTTGGTGTAGAAATACCTGTAATTAAACCATACTTATACATATACAATGTACTTTTGCTGGGACATTTATACATACAAGTAACAGACAGACTCAGAGAAGAAATTTAAATTTGTATAATATTAATTATGTGTTCCCATTTCAACATATACTTAGTCCCTGTAACAAACCTTTTCTAGGTTTGATTTTAAATATTAATTTATTCTGAGTGACACAGCATTTATATTTTTAATCACAGAAGTTTCTCTAAGTCAGACTTGAATGTTCAGTCTGTGTGTTCTCCTAGACCTTTAACATATCTGACCGTTTTTATTTTAGACCATTTATACTAAATAAAAACATTTGTTTTCTATTTAGTATTATTTGTTTCACACTTATTTTATTGCTTTTTTTTGTTCCCTTTTTATTCCTCATGGGAATACAGTCTTATGATCACATTCAAAGGAAGGAAACCCAGGAAGGCTGTTCATTCAGATTTTCTTTTCTTCTCTGGCTAACACTTCTTCCATAGCTAAGGGAGAAGGCACTATCTGGGAAGAAAGGCCTCAGTGGAGAAAGGACAGAAACATGTTTCCAGGTATATGATTTTCTCAGGAGAAGAGTCCTTGTAATTGCTATAATAAAGAAAGAGGAGGGAGGGAGGAAAAGGAGGAGGAGAATTCTTTTATGTTTCATTCATGACAAGAAATGAAGAGGAAGATGGAAAGACAGAAGAAGGAAGGTCAGGTAGACATTGTTCTAGGAGCACTTTCTCCCATTCCAGTCCAAGGTACTTATATCAAAGTGCTATGCTTTGGGGTATAGTCTTCTGAGCCCTGACAGGGCACACAGATAATGGCATTGCACAATATGGATGGTAAAAACAACTCTATTATGAACTTACTTGGCATGTTCTTGCACAGATTGTTTTGTGAATTCTAATACACAACGAGATCTGGAAAAGAAAGTTATACTATGAAGAAAACATTCACTAGTAAATCCTACATTCATTAGAAAGTGAGTAACTCTCAGGCCTTGCTTACCATTAAAGACACTTTATGTGAAGAACAAAGCCACGTAGATTCAGAATGTTTTTCCTCCTTTCACACTCCCATAATCCCACAGCACCCAATTCTTTTTTTTTTATATCCCCCAAGATGTCATATCAGCTTCACTCATCTGGCCTTTCTTCAAGTTTTTCTATTCTTGTAGGACTCTCATGCATGAAGTATAATTAAACTGGTTTCTTACACGTTAATAAATTTCATGGAAAATGTAATTGTGCCCCAGACAAAGACTGTGGAAAGATAAAAGAAAGAGGCAGCACAGACGCATGGGTGCATAAATAAATGATAGGAATAGAACGAGTAGAAAACATACCTATAAAATACAGCTAAGTTTCTACATGTGAAGAAAAGTCTGCCATCTGGTCCTTTATTTATAAGTGAGACTAGACGAGACTCTGAAAACCCAAGAGCAGAGCAATGTGATTAGTAAAGGGCCACTGGGAACAGTGTTTTGACTATTGTTTCAGTTGGGGTTACTATTGCCGTGATGAAATACCACGAATGGAAGCAACCTGGGGAGGAAAGGAATGATTTCATTCACATTTCCATTTCCCACTTCATTATCAAAAGTGGTTAGGGCAGGAACTCGATCAAGGCAGGAAGGAACCTGCAGGCAGGAGCTGAGGCAGAGGCCATCAAGGAGTACCAAGGAGTACGACTTACTGGCTGGCTTCTTAGCACTGGCTCAGCCTACTTTCTTATAGCACCCATTGGATCACCTCTCACAACAGGCTGGACTCTCCCCCGCTAATCACTAAAAAAAAAAAAAAAAAAAAGCCCAACAGCCTGATCTTATGGTGATAATTAGTCAGCTGAGGTTCCCTTCTCTCAAGTGTCTTCAGTTTGTGTCCTTGACACAAAACTAGCCAGCACAACTATCCTATAGTTTATGTAAACTACTAAATATGTTGCAGGAATTTAGAAGTGGTAGTTTATAAATAATCAAGTTGAATAACTTACACTAAAAAAATAAGAAGTATTGTTGGTCTCTTTGTGGAGCTCCTGTCCCCTCCAGGTCTTTCTATCTCCCCCTTCTTCCATAAGATTCCCTGCACTCTGCCCGAAGTTTGGCTATGAGTCTCAGCATCTGCTTTGATACCCTGCTGGGAAAAGTCTCTCAGAGGCCCTCTGTGGAAGGCTTCTGTCCTGTTCCCTGTCTTCTGTGTCCGATGTCTATCCTGTTTGCCCTTCTAAATGAGGATTAAGCATCTTCCCCAGGGTGCTTGTTGTTTATCTTCTTTGGGATTGTAGATTTTAGTATGTTTATCATATATTATATGGCTGATATCCACTTATAAGTAAGTTTATACCATATTCAGACATGCTAAATGTGTGTCTGAAGCTTATTGGAAAGAAGAGGCAAGAGGATCATGAATTCATGCTTGGTCTACTTGAGACTGTCTCAAGCAAAAATAAAAGAAGTAATACATAATCTATTATAAAAGGAACTGTCCATTATTGCATGTCATTGAACTTTCAAGAGATCTAATGATTTCTTTTTCCTATTTAATATGTTTCTCACTTATCTTACATGGCATCATCTATTCAGGACATCATTCATAAATTCAAGCCATTCTAACAAAAAACATTAAATCACAAAAATAATGCATATTTTACTGTGTGCAAAGACATGAGGATTAATGGAGAGAAAAGGTGTTCATTATTTTGCTCTATGGACCAATCACATTGCAGCTTTCTTGTTTGTAAGAAGTAATCTAGATGCTTCAGAAAACCATAAACACTTGAGTTTCCATGGGTATAAATGCCCAAAATGTTTAGAACAGGTAAAATAGCGGTGATTACTCACTTCATTGATTTCCCTCATTTGTTTGAGTTCAGCTTAAGTACATAATTGACTTTATTGTGTGTCCTGTCCATTTCATCAGTTGGTTGGCTAATGAGACTAAACAAATTACCATGTAAGTAAAATGTATTTAGAAGAAGTATAATTGACTTTATCATAGTGCTAACACTCTAAATTTTTGATAATTTTCATGTTTGAGATAAAACTGTTACATTACAATTAAAATATTTTTATTACTTTCTCTTCCATACTAGCTGCCAATCATCAAATAAATCAGGGGCAGGAAGGATAGCCAGATGGTTAAGTGAATGTACTATTCTTGGGGAAGACTCAAGTTTGGTTCCCAGTACCTCTTTATTGGCTTATATTCATCTATAACTCAATATCAAACATTAAGTTTCTAGGAAGATCTTTTCTGGTTTTCATGGGTATCAAGCATACACACTTATAAGCACTCACAAATACAAATGAAATAAAAATAAATAAATGTATTTAAAAGGTAATTAAAATTTATTTAAAATTTTAAAACAAATGAATAACAAGTTGTTTGATTTTTTATATACCTTATCTGGCACGAATTACTACTAAATACAAACCAACAAGAAGAAACAGTGAAACTAACCAACAACTTAATAGAAAGACCCCAGACGTTTATTTCCTTGTATCTCTTATGTCTAGAAGGGACAAAATCCTGAGAAATGAGTATGTCCTTGGAGTACCTGTTAAAGAAATTCCTTAAGCCTCTGATTTGAATATCCCCATTCTGTAATACAAAGGGGAAATCTAGGTCCATATAATGTAGTCAGGGAATGAACCAGGTCAAGGTCATTGTGTAAGATGCAGCCTACCTCATGCTTCATGGTATCTTTCTATTTAATCATCCTTTGAACCTGATGCAGAGAAGGCAGTATCCTTATGACACCAGAGTTTCTTCATACATACAAAGTTTCTTTTCCATAAAGGAAAACGTTAGAGTGACTCCTGTGTCTACTGTTTTGTTAACTGATCAATTCAAAATGATCAATCAGCTGAAAAGGTGTCAGCATTTCGAATATGGCTTCCCAACATGGGGTTCCTCAGCATGCTGAGTACTTTGAACTGAAAGATACTTGAAAGTCTCAGCACAAAGTCTATCTGTCCTTCTCCTACTTTCAAGTCTCTTGTCAATGGTCAATGTATTGCCTCAAAGCAAGTCAAAGAAGCAAGATTTGTGCTTCAACAAAATAATTCACAGAAACCAGGACAAGCTGTCATTCCACAGGTCACAAATATGGAAGCCTCATCCTGCACTTCTCCTCTAAGGACTATTCTGCTAGTGTAGAGTTCTGCTTGGAAAAGCCAGGAGGAATCTAATCAGATTGCCCTCGTTGAGTCTCTCTCCTTGATATGATAACACTGGATCACATCCTCTGTTCAGTCACATTTCCACATAGAAGACTGATCATTCTCCACCAAACCTAAGCCTAAAGACAGTTTTCCACTGACCTTTAGGTCTTTCTTTTAAAAACACATTCACCTCCCTCTGGCAATGGGCAAAGAGACACCTTGTTGGCAGTATTGTTCTTATATCAGTCAGGGACAGAACAGTTGGCAATCCTTTTTTCATGCTAGCTTGATGCCTGGCTAGGTGGCCAAATCCGTCTTATGCCTAGGACTCGTAAAAATCAAATTCAGGCAGTGCAACGTGGAAGGAGGAAGACAGTCAGAGACTTGAAGCCTGCCAAGACTGGGAGAGTTGACCCCATCACTCATCTGCTGTGAAGTAACATGGGTGCAGAGGTGTCTCAGAAGCCAAAAAATCCTGAACCAAACCGATGACTCATTGCAATGAAGATCTGCAAGTGAAAATGAGCGAGCCGAGGAATATACTGTGGCATGCTACAGCTTCCACAATGAGACGTTTCCTATGCTTTGTGTTTGTTTTGGTTTGTTGTTGTTGTTGTTTGTGTTTTATTGGAGAGGGTTGCAAGGGCAAAGGGCAGAGATGAGGGGATGCAGAGATTAGCAGCACTGAGGTACATGATGTAAAACACACAATGAATCAATAAAGTTTGAGGCCACACTCATGAATAACACATAACTTTGATTAGAAGAATGTGTGGTGCTTTTCTTGTTAACCTGTCTTTTATTACATGTATACTAGTCTTCCCTCATCACCACAGACAGAAAGTCTCACGCTTTTATACCTCCATTAGCATATTTATGGATTAAAATTTCTTGGATACCGAGAACAAACAGTTTGCCTATATTTTTGTTTAGATTATATAAGAGTAAATTGCAGATATTTTTCTGAGAAATTTTAAATTTTATAAGTTTTTCTATGTTAAGGCCATTTGATTTGTTTTTCTTTTTTAATATGTAGCAGAAAACATGATCACCAATGTACAATTAGACTTGAAATTTTAAAAATAAATTCAAAAAGTTATGAAGTAGAGCAAAAAATATTTTGTTCCACTTATGGACTAAGCCGAGCTTCGTTATTTTTGCATTGCCAACATGTGTTTTTATAATCATCATTAAATAGCAATGATTCGATTTTCTTTTGCCTACAAGTTTTGAAAATTTATGTTTCTTGTTGGAAATGTTTACATTTCAAAGACATTTTTGAAGAAAAGGATATGGGAATAGATAATCTTGCATCTAATCCTGTGGAACACTCAGAAAACATCACCAAACAGATTTGTAATACATGGTACATCCTCCTAGGAATAAACACAACCACATGTAGCATTTTCAGAGATTCAACCATAAGACAAACGCCATTTCAAATGCACTTTCAGTTACTTCAAAAACCTTGCATTCTTTTGATAAATTAGCCTATACTGTCGATTTTAGTTTAATCTGGACCTTTCAACAGTAGTTACAACTACTGGTGCTTTGCACTGCTGTAGAGGCCAGGCCATAGGTTCAGCACGCTGGCTGACCTGTCTGACTCAGAAACTTCTGAATTCAAGGTGAGGTCTAGGATTCTGCGTTTAAAGATCAGCCATAAAATGCTGATGTCTCTGCAGAAACTGGTCTAAAATAAAAGGAAGGGCGCCGAGTGGGATTACTCTGACAGAGTTATTAATCTCTCTGTTCCAAAGCCAGCAATGCAATTTCGTTTTTACTCAACATCAAAGGATTAGTGGAAAACCCAAGAAGAATTGACATCCTCTCTTATAAGCTCACTATGGCAATAGCCAGCTGTACAAGCTATTGTGTTCTGATGTTTGTATGTGAGTGTGTGTGTGCGTGCATGCATGCACTTATGGGCTCATGTGTATGCTTCAATTTCAAATATGTGTCTAGATTGCATTAATGTGAGTAACAGTGTACTATGCAAACATTCTTAGTGCTTGAAAATGAAATAGATTTTCTAAGAAGATTAAATAATTAATGGATGTTTTATACATTTTGTTAAAGGGAAAGTTTTTTTTTTGTTTTGTTTTGTTTTGTTTTGTCGATGAAATAATTTCAAAGATAAGAGAATACTTGGTTGGTTCAGTAGGGTACATATGGGAAATTACTTCAAAAAACAATGAACTCCCAGCACAATGCAAAAAAAGGGTCACAAGTGGTTTACAACTAAGGAATAAATTAAACCCAAATGGTGAGAGCACCTGATTTATTACATCTATTTGAAATATGAAGCATAAGGGAAAGGGAATACTATACAATAGTATATTTTTCACAATGAGTACATTCAGCAGGGCATACTGTATGAATTCATGGCAAAGTATGCACTTTCTCTGTCTCTGTTTTCTCTATAATTACGGAGCTACAAGAGTGAGAGTTGATGTTCAAGCAAAGGACGCATTGGCAGGAAGCGCCCTGGGCAAGTGTTAGGTTCTTGCTCCACTGGAGAAACACAGGGACAAGCATTCCTGGCTAATAGCAACAGCTTGCAGATGACCTTACTGCACAGCTACAGGTCTTACGTAAGGTTTCTGGGCATCAAACTGTGCGGACTAAAATGGATGTCAACAATATGCGACTGAATTAAGACCTCATGAATAATAAGTGTTTCGTATGTTTCATGTATATTTAATTTATCCTGTTTTTCAGTGCCTTTGGTGCCTCATACATTCTTGATGCTTCATGAATAATCCGTGCTCTTGGTGCTCTGCACTTCTCTGTGTATAACTCACACATGCTCTACTAACCAACATCTTATCTACACTTAACCTAACTTGTGAGTTTCACACATCGCTCTTCCTTGCTAGAATTAAGTAGTCTCAAAAAAACTCATGTTATATTTCCACATAGCTATCAAAGCACTTTATATGAGCTACAATAATTCAGATTTTTAAAACTCAGGAAATATTTTTATGGGGATAGGGGTGGTATATGTCAGGGGACAAATGGACACATGTTTTTGTTTTTTTTTTAATTTTATTTTTCTTTTTAGTTACATTTTGTTAACTCTGTGTCCCAGCTGTATCCCGCTCCCTCATTCCCTCCCCAACCCCACACTCCCTCCCTGGTCTCCTCCCTGCCCCTTTCCAAGTCCACTGATAGGGGAGGACCTCCTCCCCTTTCATTTGACCCTGTTTTATCAGGTATCTTCAGGGCTGGCTGCAAAGTCCTCCTCTGTGGCCTAACAGACTGCTCCTCCCCTGGGGGAGGGGGGCTCAAACAGCCTGCCCTTGAGATCCTGTTAGAAATAGTCCGTGTTCCCCTTACTTTGGAAAACTACTTGGTTACTGAGCTACCACGGGCCACATCTGAGCAGAAGTTCTAGGTTATATCCATAGATGGTCCTTGGTTGAGTCTCAGTCTCAGAAAAGGCCCTGTGCCCGGATATATTTGGTACTTGTAGAGCTCCTATCCTTTCCATATCATACTAACTTCCCTTCTTTCATATGATTCCCTGCACTCTGCCTACTTGGTCATGGTGGATAATATCTTTGATGTGTTCTTGGATTCGGTTTGCAAGTATTTTATTGAGTATTTTTGCATCAATGTTCATAAGAGAGATAGGTCTGAAGTTCTCTTTTTTTGTTGGATCTTTGTGTAGTTTAGGTATCAAGGTGACTATGGCTTCATAGAATGAGTTTGGTAGTGTTCCTTCTATTTCTATTTTGTGGAATAGTTTGAGGAGATTTGGTGTTAGTACTTCTTTGAAGGTCTTGTAGAATTCTGTGCTGAAGCCATCTGGTCCAGGGCTTTTTTTGGAGGGGAGACTGTTAATGACTGCTTCAATTTCCTTGGGAGATATAGGGCTATTCAGTCTTTCTACCTGATCTTGATTTAATTTTGGTAGATGGAATCTGTCAAGAAAGTTATCCATTTCATTTAGATTTTCAAATTTTGTGCCATATAGGCTTTTGTAGTATGACCTAATAATCGTTTGGATTTCCTCAGTGTCTGTAGTTATGTCCCCATTTTCCTTTCTGATTTTGCTGATTTGGATAGTTTCTCTCTGCTTTTTAGTTAGTTTGGCTAAGGGTTTGTCTATCTTGTTGATTTTCTCAAAGAACCAGCTTTTTGTTTCATTGATTCTTTGGATAATTTTATTTGTTTCTAATTGATTGATTTCTGCCCTTAGTTTGATTATTTCCAGCCATCTGCTCCTCTTGGGTGTATCTGCTTCTTTTTTTTTTCTAGGTTTTTCAGTTGGGCCATTAAGTTGTTTGTATGTGATGTTATGGATTTCTTCTTGTAGGCATTTAGTGCTATAAATTTTCCTCTGAGCACTGCTTTCAATGTGTCCCATAAATTTGGGTATGTTGTGCCTTCATTTTCATTGAATTCTAGGAAGTCTTTAATTTCTTTCTTATTTCTTCCTTGACCCAGCTGTTATTGAGTAGTAAGTTGTTCAGTTTCCATGTGCGTGTCGGCTCTTTGTTGTTTCTGTTGTTATTGATGTCCAGCTTTAGTCCATGGTGGTCAGATAGTATACAAGGGATTATTTCAATCCTTTTGTATCTGTTGAGGCTTGATTTGTAACCAACTATATGGTCTATTTTGGAGAAGGTTCCATGTGGTGCTGAAAAGAAGTTGTACTCTTTTGAGTTTGGATGAAAAGATCTGTAGACGTCTATTAGGTCCATTTGATTTAGGGATTCTGTGAGTGCTTTTATTTCCCTATTTGGTGTCTGTCTGGTTGATCTGTCCCTTGATGAGAGTGGGGTGTTGAAGTCTCCCACTATTAAGGTATTAGGATCAATGTATGATTTAAGCTTTAATATTGTTTCATTTATGAATGTAGGTGCTCTTGTATTTGGGGCATAGATATTCAAAATTGTGATGTCCTCTTGTTGGATTTTTCCTTTGATGAGAATATAGTGGCCCTCCTTATCTTTTTTGATTGACTTCAGATGAAAGTCTATTTTATTAGATATTAGGATGGCTACTCCAGCTTGTTTTCTGGAACCATTTGCTCGAAAAACATTTTTCCAGCCCTTTACTCTGAGGTAGTGTTTATCTTTGTTGCATAGGTGTGTTTCTTGGATGCAACAGAATGTTGGGTCCTGTTTCCGTAACCATTCTGTTAGCCTGTGTCTTTTTATTGGTGAGTTGAGTCCATTAATATTGATAGATAATATTGACCAATGCATGTTAGTTCCTTTTGTAAGGGAGTCGATGATCCTACCCTGTTTCATTACTTGTTTTCTTTTCATTTTTGTTGGGATATTATCTGTATGCCTTGTTTTCTTGGGTGAATTCGTTTTCGTTG